TACATATTTGCAGTTAATTGACAGCTGAGTTGTCACAAGGGTTGCTGTGCGTTTCCTTCGAACAAATAAGCTGCTTTTACTGTTTTGTTTTTATTCTCAAACTCAAGAACACTTTGTCCAAATGTATTAACTGCAGTCGGTGTTCTGAGTGCATGAGCTGACGCATTATTAGCCCTTTTGTTCTCTCCAGTTGCTGTGTATTTTCAAAGTAATTTTTTTTCAGTAATTTTTCCTTAAGTGACTTAAGGCTTATTTTTATTGAAGAGTCGATTTCAAGGCAAGATGTATGCTTGAATTAATGTAAGTAAAACCCCTATCTTGAGTTGGTATCTTGTGAAGAGTCAACTACAGCAGCATACAGCAGCTGCAGAGCTATAGTGATAGGCAGCATGCACAGCTCCATGCTTCTCTTGCCGTGTTTTCTCTGGTTGTGTTACTTTAAGTGCAGTTCTCCCAAGGACAGGTCACAGCACAGATAATTTAAGACTTGGCTTTACTTTCAAGTGGTTATATTCTCTTTCAGGCATGCCCTTTAACAGCTGCTTTATCGTTGACCTAACTTGGAAATTAATCAAGCACTAAATCCAGAGTTATGCCTGATGATCTTGTGGGAAACAGGCTTCAGGCTCCCTGGTGACTCCATAGGACTAGCCTAGGTCATTGGATAGAGGCCAAGATGATCCTGTAGTTCCTTGCCTTGTTTTTCCTCCCATCCACAGAACTGTCTTGTCTTAAACTGATCTAAATTTAATCTTTGTACTGCAATCTTCTACTAATTGCTCTTCCACCTTTCTTATATCAGGATTTCCTTTCTTACCCAGTGCTGAGTAGACATTGTAGTTCAGTATTTGACAAGCTTACAATTATTTCTCCTGTTTCTCTCAGGTAGATTCATTCTACTGTTGTTCTAGACCTTATAATTCTCCTTTGTTAATGCCTGCCAGTCCTGAACCACATCTTTGCTACATAAGGAATGTTGATGGTGATTTCTCCTCACCCCTTAATCTCTTCCAGTCCATTTTGATGAAAGTTACTGCCTATGGTGCAATGAGAGAGGCTAAGTAACCATATCAGTCAGAGGGAGGAGAAAGAAGTGCAGCAAGTGGGCTTTTGCCTACATTTTAGAAAATTAAATAAGAGCATTACAAGTTTTTCACCTTTCCCAATGTCTTCCATTTTATTATGGTACCTTTGGAAGTTAATTAAAAAAAAAAAAAAACAAACCAAACAACCCACTCCTCTCCCAAGATCTTGATATTTCAGGGTTTTTAGTGATGAGAGAAACTTAGTCCCAGCTCTCAGAAGTCCCAGCAGGACACTGTAACTCTTAGAACTTAAAAGTTAAGCCTTTTTAAATTTTAAACTCATATCATAGTGGGAAGCTCTTTGTAGAAAATCAAGCTTCCCAACCATGCTCTGCTGTAAGGCTGGAAATGTACATTCTCTGTAGTTACTGGTGGAGCATGAGTAAGGTTTCTGGTAAGACTTCTTTTTTTCTGCGAGAATAAAAGGTATAGAAGTTCTTATTTTCTCGATTTGATTGCTGAGATAGATGAATTGCAAATCCACCGGCTGAAGAGAAGTGAAACAAGATGTTGCATCCTTGTCAATGATTAAATGAGGTTTGATGTATTGAGACAGTTTTACTGTGCTCTTTGATTCACACTAGCTTGAATGTACCAATAGAAGTGAATATAAGGTTATGTCTAAAAGTGTTTACCTTTTTTGGTATCCAGTTCTGATCTAGGCAAAAGTTCCATGTAATTCCAAATGGGGGAATTTTCCTAAGCAGAATTAAAAAGTAAGGCATTTTGTCCCTCAGGTATTTTATCTGAATTTTTCAAAAAAGTAAAGGCTTTACAAGAACAGGTTTATTACATTGAATATAAAAGGTAATGTTTTTCTTTCCAAGTGATACTGTCAGATGAGCATGGGCATGTGCTTACTTTTTCTCAAGTATCAAACCATTTGTTTAAACAGAGGATGACAATTTATTGGTTGATTGACTGAAGTGGAATGGAATGTGGAATTGAAAGCATTCACCCAAGATTTTTTTTTTTTTTTTAATATTGTGGCTTTTCAAAGCCGTACAAAATAAAATCTTACTTGTCTAATTTTTCCCATCCTGCCCCAAATGCGTCTTCTGATGTGAAAGCTTTGAGTGGTTCAGAAACAAACAGCAACTTTTACTGTTATGTACAAGTCATATCAAGATTTCATGGGCAATCTTTGCTTCCTTGAAGGCACATGGGGTGGGATCTAAACACATTCATTAGATCCATTAAAAAGAGAATGGAGAGAATGTTAACAATCCTTCCACCCAGGTACTGGAAGGGTCACATCAGGTACAAAATAGGTTATTGGTATATTTCAAGTTCTAGGTAAAATTAAACTATTCTTGCTTTGCAGAACTATTTTGTATTCTCACTTGCAGCAAAACCACTCTGTTGCACCAGAAACTCACAGAATTTGAAAGGCAGCAGGCCACTTACAGTCATCACAACTTACTGAGGATAGCTAAGTATTTCCCCATATTATTGTATGCCCTTAGTTTTAAGGAAATTTTTTTTATGTAAATGTGATTTAGGGGTTAGAGTTGCAATATCATATGCTTGTTCTGCTTTTGTTCTCCCCTAGCCATCCAATTCTTGTGTCTCCCTGTATCCCTGATAGGAATCACTATGATTGCCCTGATGTTGCATTCTTATGTTGGCTTTGCAGAACAATCTGGGTAGCAGTAACCCTCTACTTTGGACAGTGTTTCATTCTTCTCTTTTGCAGGTGTCAGATATTCATATCAGCATGTTTCGGGATCCCAAACGAGCTCCCGACTTCGAAAAATTCTGTTCTGAAACACTTGACGTAATTCAGCCAGCACTTGTTCTAGCAACAGGTAAGCAATTCAAAAGTGTGAATTCCCTATTCAGTGTGCTGTCAGAGGAAGAGCAAATAAGCAACATTTTAGGATCTCAAGAGAGAGCTTTAAAGTGTTAAGGTGTCTTAAGCAATGGAAATGAAATTGCAGCTGAAAATAGACTGCTAGAAGCATAAAAGAATAACAACTCAAAAGAATTAGTTTCTGTTTAGTGTTCTGAGTCTGATGGTGAGTTTAGTGTGTTTTATATGTAACAGACACAATTATGCAGGATAGCTATCCCTTTCCTAATAGTTGTTGCTACACCTTAGTCCTTGCTAGCAGTTACCTTCCTTCTTGTCGTGCTATTACTGTGTGAACAGAAGTGGGAATGGTTCAAACTTTAATTGGAACTTGAAGTGATACAGAAACTGTGAAGGTAAACAAAGCTCTGTTTTGGCATGGCATTAGTGAAAGTGTTGCAGTCATGTGGTCAGTAGATGTCCGATGAGGCTGCTGCATCTACATTAGAAGGCATTTACCCTTACGGTAACCTCTTGGATGAGATACAGGAACATCCAGACTGTACTCAGGAGAATGCAGCCTTTTACCCTCGGAGGCAGGGATGCATGTCTAGTTACAGCAGTTGTATAAGCTGTGTAGGCCTCTAGTTATAATCTCACCTTTGTACACCTCCAGGTGACCTGACGGATGCTAAGACAAGAGATAAACTGGGGTCTGAGCAGGTAGAAGAAGAGTGGAAAACTTACCAGTCAATTCTGAAAAGATCAAGAGTCATGGAAAAAACCAAGTGGATAGACATCAAAGGGAATCATGGTAAGAAGGCAATGAAACATCTGTCTTTCCTGTGATTGCAGATCACAGAATACAGAGGTAAAGTGTTAGTAGTCACTACTATGTTAGTGGTAATTATGAATCAAAAGGCCTTGCCATCCACATGTCTACTGAGGGCACACTTTGTTTACAGGCACTTACTGGAGTTTTACTACCAGAGAAGCCACTAAATAACAATTTACATCCCCACAACAACTTCATCTTTGAATTGAAACTTGAATGAGAAAACTATTGCCACTTTTAGCTCAACTGCATCAAGTGTATAATGCCTTCTCTGGAGTTAGACACTCTGCTTGTCCATTATGCATTAAAAAAAAATTAGTTCTTCAGCACCTGCTTAATTCTCTGTATTTCAATACTACCAAGTTAAATACAGGGGTCAATGATCAATTTGATCTGAAAGTTTCCTCATTTCCTTTTTCTCTGCCTTACAGATTCATTCAACATTCCGCACCTGGATAGCGTTCAGAATTATTACAGGTACTTTTATTTACCGTACAGATGCCATTATATTCAAGGTCAAACTCACTAAACAATATTCTGCTTTCAGTTATCACAGTTTTTCACTGACTTTCCTATAGTCCAGGATCATGTCTGCTATTCCCTCTGTCTTTTGCATTGTCAGTTAGTACAGCAGAAGAGATTGATAAAAATCAAGATTCTTCTCTTATCTCTTATCCTTCTGTGTTTGACACTGAATGGGTTAAATCTGTCCACGTCTATAAGATGTTCTGTGCATTGTATTCAGTTTCCTCAGAAAAGTTGTGTGATATATTTTTGTAAAAGGTGTTCCCAGAGAATGCTTTTACTACTTAAAATAGGTGAAAAAAGAAAAGCAAGATAAAACTTCTCTTTTTTTTATTGTTCTTTAGGATAGGATGCTGCCTATCCTTTATCCATAAAAAAGTACTGTGTTGCTCAGGGAAAGCATATTTATGCTAACATTTTTTTAAACGTTTGTGTGCTAACTTGCTGCTTGTCTGAACATGTAACCCATGCAATGCATCTTCTTTGAAGTACAGATTATTCAATGCCATTGACTTTTAAGAAGGGACCACTGCAGTAACAAGGAGGAGCTAGATCTAATGCTTGCAAGGAGTCTTGCATTTATACTATGCAGGTCACTGTTGTCATTGCTACAAGCTTTCCTAACAGCAATATTTCCACTTTATTTTGTTAGGAAATACTCTGCCTGGCGTAAAGATGGCTCTTTCCATTACATCCACACTACCTCTTTTGGGAACTATTCATTCATCTGCGTGGATGCCACACTCAGCCCAGGCCCTAAGAGACCCTATAATTTCTTTGGGATTTTAAACACGGTATTGTATAAGTCTTGACGTTCCATCTTGCTGGCTATTTTACTTCTGTAGTGGTTTGTTTGGAATTTTTATTTGTTTCTGTGTAAAAGAATTATGTTGAATATGTATGTTTGCCGAAAAGAGTGTTTACATTTTTAAATTATTATGAATGTGGGACATTTATTTAGAAAAATTAGATTTTGAGAGCCTGCTGATACTGGGAGGCTCGCTGGACATGAAGTGGTTGATTTAATATTGGAATTCAAACAAGTAGGAGAGAAATTTTACCTCCTATGGTTAACTTGAACAGCAATGGCTGAGTAATATTTTTAAGATTCATCATCTGAGTTTATTTAGTTAAATGACTGAAGCATGTGATGCACAGGTTCTGTGGTCTGTCATGCCTGTGAAAGGTCATCTAGCAACTTAAGAAATAGTAAGGATGATAATTTTAAGGTAAAGATGTTTGTAAAATTAACTCTTTTGCTATATGAATAAGCAGTAGAAAGGATAGGAATATTGTTTACCAACATCTTTCTTCACATTTCATTTTTCTTGTGTTAGATTGCAAAGAAGGCATTGAGTGTCTGGTTTTCTTTTCCAACATCAGATTTTAGAGTTACATCTAGTGGTATAGTGGTTCACACACAGGTCCCTGAAGCAACTCAACTGAGGGTATTCTCTGTAATGGGGAAAAAAAAAGGAGAGAGAGAGAGAGAGATTAATTACATTCTTCATTAGTTTCTTTTTGCTTGCCTTTTGCTATTCTTTCACAATAGCCTAAATGTTAAACAGATTTGTTTGGTTGCCTTTCAAATACCTGTCCATTTCAGAATCAAATGGCAGAGCTGTCTTTGATGGCAACAGAAGGTCTGCACAGCAACCATACTATCTGGTTTGGCCATTATCCCACCTCAACAATCATCTCCCCAGCCCCAGGAATACGAACCTTAATGAGGTAAAGTCTTTTTATCCCGTGTGTTTTCAATCTGAAGTACATTTCTTGCCTCACTTAACATGCTTATCTCTCACTTCTCATGTTTTCTGTAGTGATATTTCCTTCCCACCCAAATAATCACAATTCTGTTATTAGTTCTGCCACAGCCTATTTATGTGGACATCTCCATACAATGGGGGGGCTCATGCCAGTGTTGCACAGTCAGCACCGTGGTGGCACTCTGGAACTCGAACTGGGAGACTGGATGGACAATAGAAGGTAAGTAAAGCCTATGTGAGTAAATTATTATACGAAGCCCACCAGGCTATACTGTGATTCCCTCCTACACTGGTGGATTTGAAAGGAGCATGAGATCAGCCTGACTGGTTATTACTATTGATGCTTTTGAAAAATGTCTTTGTGTGTAAGTTTGGGATTTTTCCCCATACCAACTGTTTGCTAATAATGTACATAATTTTTTATTAATTCCTGGTATATAGAAGTTAAAAAGGGGACATCTAAATGTCCATTTAGTATGTGTTATGTTCAAATGTATATTCAAAAACATATTCGAATGTAGATCAATAAATTATAACAAAATTCAGCATCACTACTTCAAAATATCCATGCTCTGCACTAGCTGTTAGAATTCTAGATGCGTAAGTAGTCTACCTGAGAAATGTTAGCTTAGCAGCATATCAAAACACATCTGATGCTACATGGACTATATAGTAGTATATTAGCTTTTATTCTGCAGTAATCCAAAGAAAGACACTTGTATGCATACAGGAAAAGGATACAGTGGGGTCTTGGTCCCTAACTAGAGTACCTGCACAGACACTGTAATAATGTATATTATATTTGAGTTATTTAACCTAATATTCGTCTATCTGATTCATGTGAATATTCCATAGATCTTGACTCTTGGAATTTTGAATACTGCTTCTGTGATTTATAATAAAATGAACCTAATCAGAGGTAACCAGCTGCACAGCAGAGTTGGTTAATATAGAATCAACTACAGAAGAGAATAAATGGAAAATAAATTAAGGAACTTGAGAAGCATGGGAATGAGCTGTGGATGCTCATTTGTTTGTATTAACAAATTTTTTTTCCTTTCACTGTAGGTACCGGATCCTTGCGTTCGACCACGACCTCCTGAGTTTTGCAGATCTTAACTTTGAAGAGTGGCCTGTAGTTCTCATCACCAATCCCAAGTCCTTGCTTTACAGCAGTTCTACTCATGAACCATTAGTCAGAATTCTTCATTCCACTCATATCAGGTACCCTGTGATCTCTTGATTTCACAATATTTAACTACATGTATACATATATGCAAAAAGCTTTCTTTTAAATATGTGTCCACTGTCCTCAGAATTCACTTTTCTCTGTATGATCATTCCTGAGAATTCCCTTCCTACCACATATGGGAAAAAGAAATTGTGTGGATGTTTATTTATGCACTTATTTCCCCTCAAGTCAATTGAACTTTTTTTATGTAACCAAACCTGATAGAGTTAGATTAATATGTAATCTGTGTTATTTATATCATGTGTTCATGTTGCCTCTGCCAGTTTCAGGATTTTGTGTATGTATTTTTCTAAGTGTTTTCTCTATTCACTTCAGACTTCTTAGTCTCTTGTGTTTTCAGTTTTACATGCTTTATATATTAAATCATCAGAAGCCTCTGATTTTCCAATGTTCATATTGGTTTTAAATCTACATCTTTCCATTTCTACCTCTTCTATTTAATTTTTTCATTTATATGTCAAACTTCTAAGCCCTTTTCAACATTTTGTATTTGCTGTCAGACCAATACACTTGGAGTATTACATACACAACATTACAATCAAAAGAAGTTTCATACTTTTAATTTAAGAAGTAGTATCCAGTAAGTGTCTTTCTTTCCAGTTTCCTATTCAGAACCTTCTCTGAACATTCTTATGATTATATTAAATATATGAACTGGTAGAATAGTTCACCATAACTATATGAGACTCCTTTATTTGACTGAAACTGGAATGCCTTTTGTATTACCAGAAATGAAAGGAATTATCTATGTAATAATTTGAGTCTGCATTAGCATGACCAATTCTCTGAATATAAGCACTGCCAATTGATAATACATCTTTTGGTGTCCGAGATCTGTAAAACCAGTCTTGTGTTCCACTCCATGTCTCATAAGTGCAGTTACAAAGACTGAGAAGTTACGTTCTGACTAGCGAGGAGAAAAAAATAAAAAACCCACACCAAACAACAAAAACTTCAGAGAGAGAGAGACTGGCAATTTTTAATGAAGCCATCTATAAGTGTTTGATTGTGTCTATATGTGCAGGAGGATGCATCCCACTTGTGTTAGCAAATGTTTTGACAGCAAGCGTTATAAGATTATTTCTGCCAGGACCTTATGATCTCTGTCACTTTTCTGTGTGTTCCACAGCCAGTTTTGTATCCTGTTCTTTTGTGCAGTGCCATACAGAACTACATTTTTTAACTGTAGGAAAGAGCTACTGCCATGTTACCATTAGCCTACCGTTTTAATTTCTAATGATATTTTCTACGATATTTCACCGTTCTAATTCCTAAATCTTCTGAATTCTTTAGCACAAGGTACTAAATCTTCAGGGACTTCTCCTAAGGAAGCAGTGAGAAGTCTGCAAACCCTGTAACAAATCTGTTTATTTTGCTCTTTATTCACTCCTTAGAATTCTGGCATTCTCTCCTTCTGTCATTGTCTCTGTCAAAGTCTCCATAGACAGAGTTCACTTGGGGAACGCACATCAGGTGTCTGGTCCTCTCTATGTGCTGAAGTGGAGCCCACAAAACTACAGTGAAGGGTTCCATCGCATAGATGTGACTGTCCAGGTAAGGTTGGCATTCTTTATATTTTTGTTTTTGTTGTGGTGGCTTCTCCATCACCCTTCTACATCACATAACTAGGACCAAAATACATAACAGATTTACTTTCATGTTTGTCTGATTACAAAAACATGACAGAAGACCAAGCTTGAATTGAAATTAGCCAGAGATGTCAAAAATACAGGAGAGAGTTCTTGAAGTATATAACAAGGAGAAAAGGAAAGGAAGACTAGAACAAGGCTAATGTCACCCCCATCTATAAGAAGGGCTTAAAGGAGGATTCAGGAAATTTTAGGCCCATCAGTCTTACATCAGTCCCTGGGGAAGTTATGGAGCAAATCCTTGTGGGAGGCTATCGCAAGTCAGATGAAGCACATGACGGGGAAAAGCCAACACGGATTCACCAAGGGCAAATTGTGTGCCAACAAGAACATTATGAAGTTCAACAAGGATAGGTGTAAGAACTTGCACCTGAGAAAAAGTAATACAGGCTTGCAGCACAGGCTGGGATTTACCTGGCTGGGGAGCAACTCTGGAAAAGGACCTGGCAGTTGTGGTGGACAACGAGCTCAATGTGAGTGAACAGTGTGCTTGTGCAGCAGAGAAAGCCAATGGGATGCTGGCATGCATCAACCAAGGCATCACCAGCAGAGATAAAGTCAGTATCCTGCTCTACTGAGTGCTTGTCAGGCCACACCTGGAACACCGTGCTCAGTTTTGGGCCCTGCTGTGACAGGCTGGAGAGGGTCCAGAGAAGGGCCAGAAAGATGATGAAAGGAGCAGGAAGCTGCCATGTGAGGAAGGGCTCAGAGAGCTGGCTTTGTTTAGCCTTGAGAAAAGAAGGGTTAGGGGAGACCTTATCACCATGTTCCAGTATTTAAAGGGTGGATACAAAGACGATGCAGAATCCCTTTTTACAAGGAGTCGCATAGAAAAGATGAGGGGTGCAAATTACTCCTGGGGAGATTCTGAGTAGGCACAAGAGGAAAATTTTTCAGAATGCAAACCATCAGCCATTGGAATAATCTCTCCAGGGAAATGGCAGATTCTTCAAAATGGGACACTTCTAAGATTCATCTGGACAGGGTGCTGGGCCATCTTGTCTGTACCATACTTCTGTCAGGAAAGGTTAGACCAGATGATCCTTGAGGTCCCTTCCAACCTGGTATTTCATGATTCAAGTAATTGATCAAAACTAAATTTTTAGTAATGGGCAATAATTAACTTTTATGGTTGTCTTGGGAAAAACAAATAATTGAGCGTGATCAAAGAAAATATAAAGTGGCATCATGGTAGCTCAGAAGGCAAAAGAGCTAGAATTTGAGTTTATTTCTCTTTTTTTCTACTCTGGTTGGTAACGAATTAAGCTGGTTTCTGCAATTAGAGTCTGTTTTGCCCGTGATGGCAATTGCTGAGTGATCTCTCCTCATCCTGATCTTGAACCACAAGCCTTTCATTAAGTTTTCTCTCCCTTGCCCAGCTGAGGAAAGGGAGTTAGGGAGCAAACTGTTGAATAAACGATGCACTGTTATTGTTTATCAATACCAGTTTGTGGCAGATACACCAGAAACAAAGCACAATGAAGCTTCAAAATATTTTAATATGGGCTATTACCTAGAATGGAACATTTAGAAAAAAATTGGTGGTGGGACCAGTAAACAGTCTTCCACAAGTTGCTGAATCTCTGACAAGTTCTCCTTCATATATAGCACTTTCAGACTCTGATCTTATAATCACCAAGTTACTTGAAACTGCAAAATTGACAGCAAGTAATCATTTGTAGGTAAAAGTATTTAATACAGCAGCATGCTAGAGATGCATGCATCAACTGGATCTTTCTAGAAGAGCTGCAGTGATAATTAGGAACTTGTTATTTTGTGTACTAC